TGTTTGTTGGTTCAGTTCAGATAATCAGTCACCTAGATAGCCAAAGTAAGTTCCAGATGTTTGCACTATTTTCCGGCCGCCATGTTGGTGGAACACAGAGCTACACCAACATGGCGGCTCCATACTGGGCTCTGTAAATTTGCGCAAAACATTTCGACGAATATCTGAAGTTTGGGAAAACGCAGAGACCCAAAAATTGGAGAAGTTTCTCCTTTACCTGTCTCCTATAATATCAAAATTTCTTGACCTTATCCACTGAATAGTTTTCGATTTATTTTTTCGTTGCGTGACAGTGAAAACCATCTATAAAACAGCTCTGAAGTCATAAGGTCACGTTAGATTTTGCTACGGCTTTTCGGGACGTTCGAAAAACGGGCCCCTGGACCGGGTTGTTCAAAGCCCGATTAAGCTAACCCAGGCTTAGCGAGAATTTTGATTTCAGTTTTGCAGTTTTTCCGTGAGGTTTTCTGTTTATATTGCTTGTCCTTCAGGTTTGAGTTTCAAACTCTCAAACTGCACAGAACATAAGCAATGAAAAACACTTTTACACAAGAAAAATGGATACTTCGGTTAACTTTTTATCCTGAGTTAACGTTAACCGGCTTTAAAAACATCCCGGTCCCGGGTTCCCGATTCACCGGCGGTATTATAACCGAAATTAGGATTATCAGAATAAGTACGTTCCCACATTTCGACAAATTCAATCATAAAACGTCTGATACCTCTCGTTCTTCCTTCACCGCACGGAGTGTATAGTACAGAGTTGCTCTAAAATTATTGCCACTTATTTCAGTAACACCTGAGTTGCAAGTATGACTTATTTAAAGGAGCTCAGTCAAGGTTTTTTGAGCTTTTTTGACCACGTACAAAATCACCTTTAAATTGAGGGAAGCCTGAAAGTAGCGGTTTACTAAGATAGAAAAACACACCAGTGATCGTAATAAACCATATAAATGAACAAGGATGGTTACGGATGGAGAAGATTTACACGACAAAACGACGCACTTGAAAAATTTAGGCTAAACTTTTCAAGATGCGCGAACCGTGACGTAGCTCCTTTAAATGATACCTCTTTTGAAACTCACCCTGGTTTCAGATCGGTTTTCTCTCTTCTTTTTATTTCTCAGTCAAATGTGGGTCAGCTTTTTCGGTGAAAACAAAAAACAAAAAACGAAAAAAAAAACAAACAAATAAAACAAGAAGAAAGCAAAACACTGTGACCAGGATATATGCAGCTCCTGTCTCGTAGCAACGTGTTTTAACAGGTTTTTGTTCTCTTCTTGTTTTCGCACCATACTAACAAGTGATACGTAAATAACCCGTCCATCCACAAAGAAAGTAATGGTGGCCTTTTATACCAAACGAAAAGATGAAAACAAACATCTACTCATTCAAATACAACTGTGAGTCTTTATCCCACTTGATATTCGTTGGCGACCGAACTAATCATTCTTACAAGCCTTATTATATACCATAATTAACGGACCTCGGGTCCCCAATATGGGTCTGAGCAGATCTGAAATCTCAAAAGTAATCTAACGTAAAGCAAAAACAAGTTTTTTAAGCCGATTATACCACTAAGGCATAGTGTCTCATTCCAAAGACAAATGAAGAAGATTTTCACACTGAATTACATAAGAAGTTAAAAAGAAAACCCTACAACCTTAGTTTCCTTCTAGCTTTCCCTACACCAAGATCTCTTTCATTTAACTATCCGCAGTTAAGCACGCGATAAATTTACACCGTTAACATAAAACAGATGATACGAAACTAATAACGAAAAGTTCGTGCCACCAGGCATTCACTTTGATTCGCGTCGTTGGAATTTTATATAGCAAAAAAATATATAAACCAACGGTAAAACGAATTAAAACCGAGTCTAGAGACTGTTGAAGAATAATTTCTTTTTTCTTACAAAATTTTAAAATCTTGACCCTTGATATATTTTTTCTTTCCTTCAGAGCGTACAGGATATCTTTTACAATTCCCTACCATTTGTTTTTGCTCTTTTTTTTTTTCTGGTCAAACGTGGTCACGTGGAACACCGACTTTTCCTGGACATTTATCACGTGATAAAGCTCCCTGTTCACGAGCAATGCATGAACCACGTAATGTGTAAGGTGAAGGTATGTCACATGAGTCCAAGTCTTTAAATAACTCTATTGGTTTGGATCATCTCACAAGAAACTTCGTCTATTTTACATCTCTGAATTACTAAATCATAATTAAATTTCATCTACAAAAAGTTAAATGTGACATGTCTCGAGTCATTACAATTATTCTTATTATATAAATTCCCAATCTTCTTCTCCAGAAAACAACGCGCTGTATGTCCGAGGCCTGAAGGGCGACTGGGTTCCATAAAAATGCCGAGTTTTGCGCAGAAACAGCTGACCGTTTTGATCGACAGCCCAAAGCTCATCATCCGGTGTGACAGAGATCAGCTCAAAATTCCCAGGAACTTTCTTCCAGTAATGTCCTACGCAGTTATCCTCGCTGACCCCGTAACGACAGACGACATCACCACCGGGGCAAGTGGCCCAAACCATGTGTTCACTGATAGCCAAGTCACGCACTCCCGTGCCAGGTACCACCTCCCAAGAGGTACCTATAGGAAAGCTTGGCGTGACATCGCGGCGCGCATATGCATTGTTACGATCGTCTACTGCCCAGACGACGCGATCCGCTGGGCTTACGGCCACCTTAGCAAAACGACATCCAGGTAGGGGATTCCCATCGACAGGGATCCAGGCCTGGGTGACCGTAGGGTCCGAGGAATCTTCCTTTCCTATCCTTAACCAGACATTCCCCGTGTCATCTACTGCCCAGGTGCTAAGCGCGCCACAGCTCAGGTGGTAAACCTTACCCACGCCGAACTGACGAAGTGACAAGTCCACCCATCCGAACCCTTGCGGGCAAGCGCCGGAAATTCCCAAGCGTTGTACGACTTTGAAATTGTGCGTGATCGCCCAAAGATTAGAACCCGATGCCGATATGAGTTTTAATACCTTACCATGCGGGGGTTCAACAATAAGCGGGTGACTTCCCGGCTGGAAGCAGATCAGCTCTCCATTGGGTTGCAAAGCCCACACGTGACTCGTGTCACCCCTGTATGATCCTGCGGAGAGATACGACCAGAACACAGACTTTGCAACGCCTTGCGGTGTTATGGAATCCCACCGAGTTCCCAGAAGGTGGCCATGCGAAGCCTGAAGACGGCCACCACTGTCTAACAACCAGACTCCTGCTCTCGGGCTCGCGGTTAATAATTTGATGTCATCTCCTCGTAGAACCCAGGACCACAGCGTCTCGAGTAAGCTACGGTTTTGCATCAAGTACTGGCCGAGAGAGACCTGGTACCACGTGTCGCCCGTTGGATTGTCCCGGTTGACGTTAGTAAACCAAAGGGATCCCTTCGTGTCAACAATCCACGCCACTCCCTCGATACCAAGACAAACCCACTTTGCGGAAACATCTAAGAGAGAACAAATGTTAGAAAAACATCCATTAAAGTAGCTTATAAAATTACAAACAGCACCCGACCATCTGTGCTTCTCCCTTTCAGTTCGGATGTGCACATTATAGTACACATACCTGCATACTGCATTATATGTTCCACGCAGAATGCCTAGCATAAATCAACACTCATGCAGCACCACTCTACACGTACGACAAGGAATTTGGTGTGATCAAAGCTAATCGAACATGCGCCATGTTCGGTTATAAATGGCCAACTGGTTTGCCTCCGGCCAGTTGGGGTTCTTAACAATGTTATGTTCAATTTCTCTTGACTCATTTAATTTGTTTCAGTTGTTTGCTCGGCCCCACTAGCCTTTGTGCTATAAACTGCGGAGGGTAAATAAAGGTCATATAGACTGTATATGAAGGAAACAAGCACTTCCTGGGCACCCAAATACCGAAAACCACGCACCATACTTTTACAACTGCTCTATAACAATATAGGCTTAGAAATTAAAGTTGCCGGTTAAAGTCATCCCCTTGAAACGACCATACCTTGCAGTGTCTCCCAGTTGGTTTTCTGTGAGGGACTCGAAGAGTTCTCATCTGCGAGTAAAATATAAATAAAAGTAAAGTTGGAGAAACAAGAAAGTTGATAGTCGCACGAGTCGTTAAGCTGGCGTTTCAAATTTTCGGCCAATGAAACTGCATGAACGAGTGCTTTGTTTGACATCTCAACCTCTAGCGCTACGGTGGTTTATGACTGACAAGCTAGGAGAACAGGACAACACATGACATTATATCTTTATTCAGTGGCAGCAACATACTATGCGTTTCACACCAGAAAACCTGAAATTGCTTGTAAAACTGTTACAGCACTCGTGAACCCCTGAAAGAAAATCGTCGTTATTGGATGGAATTCACTCTTAGTGATCAGCTCTTTTCCTCTAATAACCTGTACGCCTGTCATTGCATTGCTACACCCCCTACTGCCCCCCTCCCCACCCCCGCGCCAACATCTTCGCTGTGTGTGGGAGGCACTTCTGTGCCCGGATTGGACTCTCCAGCCATCTCCAGACACATCCAGCCCCGACCTAATTTTCACAGGGTTGTCAGAGGTCATCATCGCCTGCGATGGACGAACATCATCACCATAAGAAGATATTAGATAATGGTCATGGTTAATTGAAAAAAAGGGTAGTGCTAAGGGGGCTAAAGATTCACTCGATTCTACTCAGGATGCCTGGTCAGAGGTGGTGGGGGTGGTGGTGGAGGGAGGGAGGGGAGGTGTTTGCAGTGCACAATACCTTTGTACACGTGAATGTTGTTTGTCCTGTCCAAGAACCAAGCCATCCCATCAAAACAAGACACCTGCATGAATCTGGTGTCAGTCTGTATAGTCCGCCATCCCTTGCCTGTCGGGCTATCCCTCGAAACCTCTGTTCTCACGAAAACATCACCATTCAACTAAAATGGAAAACAGTTTGTCACGTGAGTCGTACAATTGTGTCTTACCCAGCGATCTCGCTAGTCTAGAAATTACTTCTCTGATTATTTAGAGGGTGTTACAAACAATCACGTAAACCATATGCAAAGCTAGCCTCCTACACATACGCTCTTTGGGTTCGTCGCGTAATCTTCCTCCCCCACGAACGTCTGCTGAAATACAGGGTCATTTACTTAGCCCAAACACAGCGCACTTGCCGACCACGGCAGCGAACTTTGGACCCAGAGAAATTTTGCAAGAGACTTCAAGGGATATCTTCCTTGCTTTTCAACGAGTATGTCGGCATTAACGTCGATTAAAATCCCTTATCGGCAACAAGCTATAGAGAATTAAATACGCAAGATGGACGTGTTCGTACGCAGACTTTAGTTAGCCTCAAATGCTGGAAGCCTGCGGGAACTTGAGAAGGGATGTGTCGAAAACGAAGACCGAANGTGGGGTTTTAGTCACACTGAAGGGTCGTCGGGGTTTCAGTGTAAATTTTCAGACGAACATATCCCTCCTTTCCACATGAAAAAGTCCCCCCGGGAGATCACAGCAATTTACCTTTATTCCCCACACCGCTGACCTCTCAACAGTCACGTAACGCATGTCCTTCTCCACTGGCTGCCATTTCTTTCCTGTTAAACGATTCGCGTTTACTCCTGTTCGAGCGTGCGCGTAATTCTTGCGGTCAATACACCAAATAACGTCCCCGGTGTCATTGACAGCTATCATTCTCGCCGAGCCCCTGAGCTGAGTCCACGTCACAACAGAGAAATGGGTGGGGCAGTAATAGATATGGTCATTAGTTGTCACGCACCAAATATGGGTGTCGGAGACAGCAACAAACTGGAAGTACCCCTGCCCCGGTGCGTAGTATTCCGCCCAGCTGTCCGCGAGTAGACGCAGCCCTTGCTTAGTCGAACCTGGGGACCGTGGCAGCGAGGAGCCGGAGCTAGTAGATGGGGACCTTTCAAGAGGAGGTGCATCCTCATGGTTCACTATTTCAAGATCGCTCATGGTCCTCTCTGAGAGAGTCCGGGGCCATGAGGCAGCGTCGCTGAGCTCTTCAGCACCCTCCGAGTCGAGGGACACAGGGGGCGTGCCTTCGGAGTCTGTTTGAGCATCACTGCCAGCTTTCAGTGAAGACGATGATCCGATCTTTGACCGGGTTTTTGAACGATGCGATCTCTCCACCGAACCATCCGAGAACGTAGCGTCGGAGATGTTCATCGGTGTGTTTGAGTAAATATCTGGCAAGTAGTCGGTGCTGAAGGACTTTTCTGGGCTTAGCGTAACGTCTTCAGTGTCTTCCATCACTGTGCTTGTCGACAGAGACACAGAATCCATTCCCAAACTGTTGTCAACTGATAATGTGTCTTCAGAAACATTGGCAGAAGAAGGCGATGCACTGAGTTCATCCGTCTGTTCCAACGTCACCTCATCTTCTGGAGCATTACCGATGTCTGCGTCTGTCACGCAACTGTTTGGAGAAGTCGCACTATGCTCCTCAATACTCGAATTTTCTTGCGTCACGCATGTGGTATAACGGGAGTCAATGTGGACTTCATGTTTTTCCTGCGTGCCTTCTTTAGTAACGTGAACAATCATTAAATGAGGCTGCGCAGAAGCGTCCTCTCCCTCTCCGCCTGAGTCTTGGTAATGTCCAGAGGACGTTGCACTACTTCTTTCACCAGAGTCGAAATCCGACGAGATGTTGGACAGTCTTTTTGAAGCAGGGTCCACCAGGTCAAGAGAATCTTGACTGTAATCCGGTGCAGGAGGTAGGGAGAAGTCAGTGACATCGCTTGGAGCATCACTTGCGGCCGGCTGATCTTTCGTATCATCAGGGGGCTCTGAAGTTGTTTTGTGGACAGAATCTACATTTGGAAAAACAATACTACACGATCATACCTATAAACTAATATATATTCGAACCATATAAACTAATATATATTCGAACCGTATGACTTAAAAATGTGTATTTGATATTGGCGACGAGAAACGCCGAAACTTCATGTACTAACGTTTATGTTTCGTTTAAAATGATTTTTTTTTTCTACCACAAGATCAAAAACGAGACATGGAATTGAGAGTCTAGAGGGCAACTTCCCACAATGGCACACTGAATTTCAAAAACCTACCACCAACATGTATAAACGAGAATATCTTGAGCCAACATATTTATGAGAGTGTTTATTATTCGTCAAGTGCATGGATAAGTGATTAATAACAATTACATGTAATAGACAGGTGTCCATTAAAATGGACAGGTGTATGAAGCACGCCGGCCTTATGGTTAGTGCGTCCGTCTCCGAAACGAGCGGTCCGGGCCCGAGACCTCGCCCGGGATATTGTGTTGTGTTCTTGGGCAAGACACTTAACTCTCACAGTGCCTCTCTCCACCCAGGTGTATAAATGGATACCGGCGAACTTAATGCTGGGGGTAACCCTGCGATGGACTAGCATCCCATCCAGGGAGGAGTAAAAATACTCCTAGTCGTTTAATGCTATAGAAAACGAAGATAAGCGCCGGCCTGGTGGACCTCTTGCATTGGTTCATATGCAGACTTTACCTTTACCTAACGGAGATATGTATTGAGTAGCTTTCGATGTGGCTCATGGTATAAATATTCCAGTTCACGCAATAAACATTCTGGTCTCCGTTGTACTCGGAACGAAATCCAATTGCTAACTGTTAGACCACTCTGGTACCCTACTTCATCTTTCACTGGATTTGGTTTCAGGAAAACCCATTTGATAAACGTACCTTTGTTTGCTTTCTTCTTCGATTTTTTAGTTTTTCGAAACACAATCTCCCCAAAATCTTGATGTCTTATATCTTGAAACTTTTTGAATGGGTCAGGTTCGCTGACAGTTTGTGAACGGATAGTTGTGGAAGAGTCGGCGATTTCACTCGGAGCAGGATCAGTGATCTCCTCCTGAAAAACACATAACAACTGAATCAATCTACAGTTTGTACCGGCTACTCCCCATCATAGTTATAGCAGTAGTGTCTACAAACCTTAAAAGGAGTTAGCGAGCATTTTCGCTTTAAAAAAAAACACTCAAAGATGATAAGGGATCTGCGTAGCTTGAATTTAGCAAGGTCAAGCTTAACATGTAACACCTTAAATTGCAACATGCAAGACGCTATTCACAAATCAAGTAAAAACGCCACATGCTTCACGTAGACACCTAACACACTAAAACGTAACTCACATGTTAGAATAACTATTCATACATAATATTATTAATGACACTTGCCATGTTCAGTACATGTTACTGGAATGAAACATTTGCACTGTTTTGACGAGATGACTGGCTGTTATTGGGAATGTTCGACCGACAAGCGAATTTCTAACTAAGAACAAACCTTACTGCTTGCTTCTACTTGTAACTTAGACACCCTATCTTCAGCAGTTGGTTCCTGTTGCTTCTCGTTTTCCTGCTCTTCACTTTTAAAACTGCGTTCCATAAGCTCCACAACATCAAGCAAAGGATTGGCCAGTTTAGGAATTAAAGTCAACTTCATCAATAGCCTCTCCCCTCCCCTCTGCAAAACGTAGATCTCGTGACCAGCCGTGCTGACATCCACAATGTCACCCAGGTTGTCATGGTAACCAACCAGGGCACAGGGGGACGTGTCAAGAACCCACAGGCGGGACACATCCCACGTGACAAAGAACTGCCCATGGTAGAGTCTCAGGGGACCGAACTGAGCTTGGTAGTCGGAGGGAAGTCTCGTGAAACAGGGCGGAAGGGGGTTTAAGATCGTAATACCCGGGGGGTTTTCATTGGTCAAACCCTTGTACATCAGGGTAGCGGAAACCTTGCCGTTGATATCAGCAGTCCATAACCTGAGGCCTGGCCGGGAGGTGTAAACGTCTGGTGACATCTTCAACTTATCGTCGGATGTCCCTCTTGTAGGGGGGTAAAATAAGGCACCGTATCGTCCAGGACTAAGGAACAAGATTATAATGATGGACCATTTAGAATTTTCAATTGACTGTCATTAAACCAAAACCAAACTAATCACTCTGACGAATCACAAAGACCACAGACAATCTAGTGAACCAGTCAAAACTCAGAGCAGATACACGTAAACGACGCAAAGCGCGGGAAAACGAGTGTGAGTGAGTCACAACTGGGTTTGGTTTTACTTCTGATAGATGAGAAAGTGGCGCAAGTTTTTTTGTTTAAATCAATCAACTAGTGTAGTGATGCAAAACCAAAGAAAAAGTGAATTATTTTCGACACATAAATGAAAACTGCTCTATACTCAAACATGATCCTGATTTAATTTCTACTATGACTGTGTACAAAACATTTTAGACAAAACCATTACATACTATTCTGTGTAAAAATGTAGATTTTATAAGGTTGTTAATTTTCACTTTCCCAAACCCCCGATGGAAACAGTTGATCAAGTAATGAAGCTTTTTATCCTCGTTCTCCACGTTTTGAGTTACTATTAACAACTTTTTTGAAGCAGACACATCCAGAAGCAACAAGGACTACAATTACAAAACGACTCAACAGAATTTAAATCTGAAAAGGTTATTTATATAATTTTTGTTACACCTTTTTCTTTCCTTCTGTCCAACCTGAGTGGCCTTCTCATCATGGAAATCCCAGAGAACAGTTCTTTTCTCAGAAGAAATCAACAGAGCTTCCCATGAATACGACAGTTGGATGATAGGACTTGGTTCTTGTAACACCAAGGCTGTCTGGGTCAACCCCTAGTAAGTAAAAATATATCTGGAATAGTGGACAAACGTCCTTGGGGGACTAATGTAATACCACAAATTATCTGTGTTGTACAACTAAAGTTTGAAAAAGCAATGCTACCCGTAAAAAAATGTGTTGCTGTTCCCCCTCTCCTAACCCTAGACTAGCTAGGTAAAAAGTAAAACATGTGAAGCTTGCCTTCCAAAACAAAATCTAGAGCACACACTGTGGCCAAATGACCAGTAAATTCAATACATACCTCTCGGAACTTAATAACAGTGACATAAACTTTGCCCAGAACATCCCCACTATAGAGCAGTTCACCATCAGGGGACCATTCCAGGCAGGTCACTGGACTGTTATGTGCACCACTGACATGCAGGGTCTGAGGCTGCGTAGGAGAAAGTAATCAAGATCTCACTTTACCACTTGCTTCTCTTAGGGTTCTCAGTATTAAATACCAATAAACTGCCACAATTGGCTAATAGGCCAGGGTATGTAGGCTGTATTCAACATTACACTTAAATTCCATGACATCACAGTGGTATTCAGGAAAGTAAGTTTCTGGGGAGACAATGCTTATGGCATTAAATAACTGATTGATGTCCCTCTTTCTTGTTTTGGCGACAGGTTTCTGATTGCTTAGCAGCACCTACTATTAATAAAATAAATGTTCTCAGACTAATTCAAAATTTGGGGGGAACCCTCTATTCATGAACTGTAAATGTTGGTAGATACACCGAAAAAAAGTTGTTTTCTTGATGTTGAGACACACTTTTTTAAATTCATAAATTGAAACTTCATAGAAGACAAGGAACCAGGACAACAAAGACTGAAATATTGAGACATATTCCATATAATAAACTCAAACACTTACTCAGATGTATGTCAATAAATGCATTTTTTCCTTTCTGTTTTCAGAATATACCATCCACGATGTGTGTCGCTCAATATCGAAGAACATGATTTTACGATTGAATGTAACAGGTCATAAAATTTCTATCATAATGTATAGTATTGATTATAAATAATGTTTATAGTTATTATCTCAAGACTGATATTACAGAACCTTACGACCTGATATAAATCCCACCTTGCCAAACCCTTGTGACGCCAGCACAAAGGTAAAGATGGTAACCAAACCACTGTTGAAGCCTACAGCTGTGTAACTGTGGGCAGGTAACAGCCGTATACACTTGGCTTGTTCGTGAGTGACCTGAAGAGTCACAATTAAAAAAAAGGCAGTAGGCCTTTTATAAATTTGTGATGTACACAAATTAAATAGGAGATCAAGCATACAAGTATACATGTATAACAAGCAAGGCACAAGACAATTACCTTACAAATGGGTGATAAGACTAAAATGAGGTCGATACATGGCCAAATACTGTATGACATGTCTGTAGTTCACTGAAAAGCTAAATTCATGAAGTGAACAAATATATATATACTGTATTTTTGTAAATAAGTGTACTGAGCTGGGTTGCTCATCTGAATCAGCAATACTTGAGATGGCCATCAATGATTAAAAGTTACTCATTGCCTCAAAGTTTTAATCTCTCTTTTACAGTAATGTTTTTCATTGTTTATATTTGGTGGAGTTCTAGATTGTTCAACATCAAAGCTGAAAGACAGAAAATGGGAACGGAAAACCTCTGTGGAAAGTACATGTAACAAAACTGAAATCAAAATTCACACAAATCTGAGATTTCAGCAACCAAAGTGCACACTAGCTGTTATGTGATGTAGACAAAGCTTTCCTGTCTCAATAATTCATGCGCAGTAAAACGTTTCCTTCACAGGATAAATGAGCAGTAAATATTATCCTAATTAATAGTTTCAAATTACACTTAATAAAAAACTATCGAGCAAACCTCTGATGGCAGCCTTGACAACCTGCTACAAGTCCGATCATAAAGGAGGATAATTCCTAAATTTGTCCCAAGCACAATAGCATCAAATGACACATCCAGACAGGTGTAGTCAATGGTCAAGGATTTAAAATTGTCCTGTGCTCTCCCTCTCAAAGCGTGAAGTAGATTCTTTACTCCATGTTCTTTGGTTCTTTCCCACACATGGCCCATCAAATTCTTGGGACCAAACTGTACCTTATGTGGCAGAGAGTCTAGGAGTTCACTCAGTGGTTCTAATTCTGCCAGAACAATATCTCTTCCAATAAGGAAATCTGTAGAAAAAATATTTATAACAACACAACATTGGTTTATTAATATTAAAAGATCACTTTGCAGTGAGAATACCTGACCATATCACGTCACATGACCCTGCCAATCACAAAAATGACTTGGAAGGGAAAACTATCTGAAACATGGGGTGACTCGCTCAATGAGGCCAACTATATATATACGTGCTTAGACTTTATATTCCTTTAACAGCGTGAGGGTTGTCCAATACTGTCGAGAAGATTCCACTGGAAAAAGGGATCTTACAAATCGTTCGACTCGACAAATGGAGAATGTTATTGATGATCCGACAGGTTGAGTTGTCGATCGGAAAATTGCATCTCATTAGCGGGACTTAGAAAGTATTTCACATTATTCTTGTGGCAGGGCCCCAGTGTAACTTTGTGGATTCGATCGATTCGTTTGATTCGTCGAATGGAGAATTTTAGTGACAATCCGACAAGTGTTCCGATCAACAACGAATAGAAAGTTCTCTTTTCCGATGGAATCTACTCGACAGTATTGGACATGAGTGAACAGCGTCACTGATATAACAATTACTTTAAGATTTAGAGATGTATGTTTTGGGGGCTGGTCAGCTCAGCAGCTCACAAATGTGGTGAGTCATTGAAGAACAAGAAAGATATAAATTTAAGTAGCTCAATGGCTTGGCAGTTTGCTTGGTGAAGGTTCAAAGACTGAAAGAGAAAGGTATATATCTAAGTGGCTTGAGGACTCTGCAACTCTCCAGTTGCAGTTTAAATATTATTAAAAACAAGAATGATATATATTAATTTTATTTTTAATTTTAGTAGCTTGACTGCTTGTGGCCTGCCAGCCATGAGCCATGAGCCATCAGTCATCAAAGAACACAAAAGATTAGATATATATTTATATGACTTGACTCTAGCCAGCTCACCATTGCGGTGAATGTTTAAAGAATGAGAAAGGTATAATTAGACAATTCTAATTGCACATTATTGAAAGTCAGTGTTGAAACTCCCCAGTGAAATGAAGCCCACATAGCTTAGTTTGGTCACCAGAGATACACAACTAGATTCTGCATATCAGCATGTGTATGATTAAAGCAATCTAGTGAACCATTGGAGGCCACTTCACACTTCACCTTGTGGTAAGACCTAGGAATAGACTAAGGAGTGGACATCAGCTAGCTAAATAATATAGCATGGAATCAAGTGATGAGCCCACAATACACCTCAATTAGCATGTAATGTAGTCTGAAAAGTGGCCCTGCATTCTGCAGTTAAGCCAGACCTTGGCATGGATGGAATATTGCTCCAGAGCATCTGATTTAGATCAAATGCTCACAGCAGACAAGCAGTTCAACAATAACTATTTTATTTTGCACAGTCCCACATCTGAGTAGATTGTCTACAACGCTTTTAAAAAATGCCTCGTTACAAAGTCATTTCTTGCATGAACAATGAATTGCATGAAGATTGTACAATGTCTCAGATCGTACAAGACATTGTACAGTGTGAATAGAATACTGGAAGGTAATCTAATGGAGGGAAATTAGGGTCAGTTTTGAATCAGGGTCATTTTAAACAGCTAACATCAAAGCAGTTTGTCCACCACGCTTTTAAAATATGCCTAGGTGCAGAGTCATTCCTTAAATTACATATGAACAAGAACCTGCATACGCATGCAGATTGTACAATTACGTCTGAGACCGTACAAATTACCGCACAATGTGCATATAAAATATTGGATAAGTGATCGATTGAAAGAATATTAGGGTCATTTTAACACTGACAGTGAAGTACGAGGAGACAGAGAACAAAAACATCTGTAGAAACTGAAAGCCAAGAGCAAAGAATGGAAGATCTCCATTCTTCGTCAAAACATGAAACACCCCGTCAAAGTGTTCTCGAGACTCACCTTGGGCCATCTCCATTCCTACAATCCAGAGTTCCTCATTTAAAGTAACATCTCAAGAAACCATTCCAGTAAACATGTGACAATCAAAGTCCGGCATTAGCGTCAAAATGTAATAGCAAATGTCAGCATTGTTGTGATTCCGCGTTCCCAGGCGCCATGTTTACAAACTTTAGTTATTGAGCCCGCGCTGAAATCTAAAGCGTTCTCGCTACCAAGTCACAGTCCCTCTCGGAATCTCGGCTATGCACCACCCCTCCTATCCCTTCTCGTGGCGTTTGTAATTTACGGGATTTTGAACTTGCATTCTTTCTTTGGATGTGAAATTGAAATTTAACCAGGACTTCTAATCAGGATCACGGAAGAATAGCTATTTTTCTATGCCCCTCAGTCTCTGGAAACAAAAAATGGGCACCCCAGACCCATTGTGGAAATTTAGCCCAGGGCTGCCCAAGATACGTTCTGATAGGTACGTCAGCACACTTATTTGTTAAAATTGCGTGACGAAAGATAGATAGATTTGTAAATTGAGACTAATGATGTTCAGATCACATGATGTTAAACCTGTAGTCGCTTGTGGCCTGCAGTTCATGTTATAAAAGTTTAATTAGCTGTAGCCTCTTTGTTTATCTCTGGTTAAACACAGAACATTCTAGGACTTTAAATAAGGTTAAGCTTATTTACGATTTTTTCTTATCATGCCCACTTACACTTCAACAGTACCAGAAATTTTCACAAATCCGCCAGAAAAGTCAATCTCCCAAGAAAAGAAGTCTGGACAGCTTACTGACGAGCAAGTCAAACAGTACTTCGATCAGGTAAAATAAGGTTAATTTTGCTGTACCTTTGTCGACATTTTTTTTTTCTGTTACGTTGTCACTCCTCATTCTTCCTCATTCTTCCTCATTCTTCCTCAGAGACCCCGGAAGTCAATTTCCCCAGGACATAATTAGTATGCCCAGGGGCTTGAAAATATAGTCACGACTTCAGCAGCAGCACATCAGTCTTTCATTCCAGTTGATACACACCTCCCTTCCAACAACCTCCCCCCCCCCCCCCCCCCCCCCCCCCCCCCCCCCCCCCCCCCCCNAACATCAAGCAAAGGATTGGCCAGTTTAGGAATTAAAGTCAACTTCATCAATAGCCTCTCCCCTCCCCTCTGCAAAACGTAGATCTCGTGACCAGCCGTGCTGACATCCACAATGTCACCCAGGTTGTCATGGTAACCAACCAGGGCACAGGGGGACGTGTCAAGAACCCACAGGCGGGACACATCCCACGTGACAAAGAACTGCCCATGGTAGAGTCTCAGGGGACCGAACTGAGCTTGGTAGTCGGAGGGAAGTCTCGTGAAACAGGGCGGAAGGGGGTTTAAGATCGTAATACCCGGGGGGTTTTCATTGGTCAAACCCTTGTACATCAGGGTAGCGGAAACCTTGCCGTTGATATCAGCAGTCCATAACCTGAGGCCTGGCCGGGAGGTGTAAACGTCTGGTGACATCTTCAACTTATCGTCGGATGTCCCTCTTGTAGGGGGGTAAAATAAGGCACCGTATCGTCCAGGACTAAGGAACAAGATTATAATGATGGACCATTTAGAATTTTCAATTGACTGTCATTAAACCAAAACCAAACTAATCACTCTGACGAATCACAAAGACCACAGACAATCTAGTGAACCAGTCAAAACTCAGAGCAGATACACGTAAACGACGCAAAGCGCGGGAAAACGAGTGTGAGTGAGTCACAACTGGGTTTGGTTTTACTTCTGATAGATGAGAAAGTGGCGCAAGTTTTTTTGTTTAAATCAATCAACTAGTGTAGTGATGCAAAACCAAAGAAAAAGTGAATTATTTTCGACACATAAATGAAAACTGCTCTATACTCAAACATGATCCTGATTTAATTTCTACTATGACTGTGTACAAAACATTTTAGACAAAACCATTACATACTATTCTGTGTAAAAATGTAGATTTTATAAGGTTGTTAATTTTCACTTTCCCAAACCCCCGATGGAAACAGTTGATCAAGTAATGAAGCTTTTTATCCTCGTTCTCCACGTTTTGAGTTACTATTAACAACTTTTTTGAAGCAGACACATCCAGAAGCAACAAGGACTACAATTACAAAACGACTCAACAGAATTTAAATCTGAAAAGGTTATTTATATAATTTTTGTTACACCTTTTTCTTTCCTTCTGTCCAACCTGAGTGGCCTTCTCATCATGGAAATCCCAGAGAACAGTTCTTTTCTCAGAAGAAATCAACAGAGCTTCCCATGAATACGACAGTTGGATGATAGGACTTGGTTCTTGTAACACCAAGGCTGTCTGGGTCAACCCCTAGTAAGTAAAAATATATCTGGAATAGTGGACAAACGTCCTTGGGGGACTAATGTAATACCACAAATTATCTGTGTTGTACAACTAAAGTTTGAAAAAGCAATGCTACCCGTAAAAAAATGTGTTGCTGTTCCCCCTCTCCTAACCCTAGACTAGCTAGGTAAAAAGTAAAACATGTGAAGCTTGCCTTCCAAAACAAAATCTAGAGCACACACTGTGGCCAAATGACCAGTAAATTCAATACATACCTCTCGGAACTTAATAACAGTGACATAAACTTTGCCCAGAACATCCCCACTATAGAGCAGTTCACCATCAGGGGACCATTCCAGGCAGGTCACTGGACTGTTATGTGCACCACTGACATGCAGGGTCTGAGGCTGCGTAGGAGAAAGTAATCAAGATCTCACTTTACCACTTGCTTCTCTTAGGGTTCTCAGTATTAAATACCAATAAACTGCCACAATTGGCTAATAGGCCAGGGTATGTAGGCTGTATTCAACATTACACTTAAATTCCATGACATCACAGTGGTATTCAGGAAAGTAAGTTTCTGGGGAGACAATGCTTATGGCATTAAATAACTGATTGATGTCCCTCTTTCTTGTTTTGGCGACAGGTTTCTGATTGCTTAGCAGCACCTACTATTAATAAAATAAATGTTCTCAGACTAATTCAAAATTTGGGGGGAACCCTCTATTCATGAACTGTAAATGTTGGTAGATACACCGAAAAAAAGTTGTTTTCTTGATGTTGAGACACACTTTTTTAAATTCATAAATTGAAACTTCATAGAAGACAAGGAACCAGGACAACAAAGACTGAAATATTGAGACATATTCCATATAATAAACTCAAACACTTACTCAGATGTATGTCAATAAATGCATTTTTTCCTTTCTGTTTTCAGAATATACCATCCACGATGTGTGTCGCTCAATATCGAAGAACATGATTTTACGATTGAATGTAACAGGTCATAAAATTTCTATCATAATGTATAGTATTGATTATAAATAATGTTTATAGTTATTATCTCAAGACTGATATTACAGAACCTTACGACCTGATATAAATCCCACCTTGCCAAACCCTTGTGACGCCAGCACAAAGGTAAAGATGGTAACCAAACCACTGTTGAAGCCTACAGCTGTGTAACTGTGGGCAGGTAACAGCCGTATACACTTGGCTTGTTCGTGAGTGACCTGAAGAGTCACAATTAAAAAAAAGGCAGTAGGCCTTTTATAAATTTGTGATGTACACAAATTAAATAGGAGATCAAGCATACAAGTATACATGTATAACAAGCAAGGCACAAGACAATTACCTTACAAATGGGTGATAAGACTAAAATGAGGTCGATACATGGCCAAATACTGTATGACATGTCTGTAGTTCACTGAAAAGCTAAATTCATGAAGTGAACAAATATATATATACTGTATTTTTGTAAATAAGTGTACTGAGCTGGGTTGCTCATCTGAATCAGCAATACTTGAGATGGCCATCAATGATTAAAAGTTACTCATTGCCTCAAAGTTTTAATCTCTCTTTTACAGTAATGTTTTTCATTGTTTATATTTGGTGGAGTTCTAGATTGTTCAACATCAAAGCTGAAAGACAGAAAATGGGAACGGAAAACCTCTGTGGAAAGTACATGTAACAAAACTGAAATCAAAATTCACACAAATCTGAGATTTCAGCAACCAAAGTGCACACTAGCTGTTATGTGATGTAGACAAAGCTTTCCTGTCTCAATAATTCATGCGCAGTAAAACGTTTCCTTCACAGGATAAATGAGCAGTAAATATTATCCTAATTAATAGTTTCAAATTACACTTAATAAAAAACTATCGAGCAAACCTCTGATGGCAGCCTTGACAACCTGCTACAAGTCCGATCATAAAGGAGGATAATTCCTAAATTTGTCCCAAGCACAATAGCATCAAATGACACATCCAGACAGGTGTAGTCAATGGTCAAGGATTTAAAATTGTCCTGTGCTCTCCCTCTCAAAGCGTGAAGTAGATTCTTTACTCCATGTTCTTTGGTTCTTTCCCACACATGGCCCATCAAATTCTTGGGACCAAACTGTACCTTATGTGGCAGAGAGTCTAGGAGTTCACTCAGTGGTTCTAATTCTGCCAGAACAATATCTCTTCCAATAAGGAAATCTGTAGAAAAAATATTTATAACAACACAACATTGGTTTATTAATATTAAAAGATCACTTTGCAGTGAGAATACCTGACCATATCACGTCACATGACCCTGCCAATCACAAAAATGACTTGGAAGGGAAAACTATCTGAAACATGGGGTGACTCGCTCAATGAGGCCAACTATATATATACGTGCTTAGACTTTATATTCCTTTAACAGCGTGAGGGTTGTCCAATACTGTCGAGAAGATTCCACTGGAAAAAGGGATCTTACAAATCGTTCGACTCGACAAATGGAGAATGTTATTGATGATCCGACAGGTTGAGTTGTCGATCGGAAAATTGCATCTCATTAGTGGAACTTAGAAAGTATTTCACGTTATTCTTGTGGCAGGGCCCCAGTGTAACTTTGTGGATTCGATCGATTCGTTTGATTCGTCGAATGGAGAATTTTAGTGACAATCCGACAAGTGTTCCGATCAACAACGAATAGAAAGTTCTCTTTTCCGATGGAATCTACTCGACAGTATTGGACATGAGTGAACAGCGTCACTGATATAACAATTACTTTAAGATTTAGAGATGTATGTTTTGGGGGCTGGTCAGCTCAGCAGCTCACAAATGTGGTGAGTCATTGAAGAACAAGAAAGATATAAATTTAAGTAGCTCAATGGCTTGGCAGTTTGCTTGGTGAAGGTTCAAAGACTGAAAGAGAAAGGTATATATCTAAGTGGCTTGAGGACTCTGCAACTCTCCAGTTGCAGTTTAAATATTATTAAAAACAAGAATGATATATATTAATTTTATTTTTAATTTTAGTAGCTTGACTGCTTGTGGCCTGCCAGCCATGAGCCATGAGCCATCAGTCATCAAAGAACACAAAAGATTAGATATATATTTATATGACTTGACTCTAGCCAGCTCACCATTGCGGTGAATGTTTAAAGAATGAGAAAGGTATAATTAGACAATTCTAATTGCACATTATTGAAAGTCAGTGTTGAAACTCCCCAGTGAAATGAAGCCCACATAGCTTAGTTTGGTCACCAGAGATACACAACTAGATTCTGCATATCAGCATGTGTATGATTAAAGCAATCTAGTGAACCATTGGAGGCCACTTCACACTTCACCTTGTGGTAAGACCTAGGAATAGACTAAGGAGTGGACATCAGCTAGCTAAATAATATAGCATGGAATCAAGTGATGAGCCCACAATACACCTCAATTAGCATGTAATGTAGTCTGAAAAGTGGCCCTGCATTCTGCAGTTAAGCCAGACCTTGGCATGGATGGAATATTGCTCCAGAGCATCTGATTTAGATCAAATGCTCACAGCAGACAAGCAGTTCAACAATAACTATTTTATTTTGCACAGTCCCACATCTGAGTAGATTGTCTACAACGCTTTTAAAAAATGCCTCGTTACAAAGTCATTTCTTGCATGAACAATGAATTGCATGAAGATTGTACAATGTCTCAGATCGTACAAGACATTGTACAGTGTGAATAGAATACTGGAAGGTAATCTAATGGAGGGAAATTAGGGTCAGTTTTGAATCAGGGTCATTTTAAACAGCTAACATCAAAGCAGTTTGTCCACCACGCTTTTAAAATATGCCTAGGTGCAGAGTCATTCCTTAAATTACATATGAACAAGAACCTGCATACGCATGCAGATTGTACAATTACGTCTGAGACCGTACAAATTACCGCACAATGTGCATATAAAATATTGGATAAGTGATCGATTGAAAGAATATTAGGGTCATTTTAACACTGACAGTGAAGTACGAGGAGACAGAGAACAAAAACATCTGTAGAAACTGAAAGCCAAGAGCAAAGAATGGAAGATCTCCATTCTTCGTCAAAACATGAAACACCCCGTCAAAGTGTTCTCGAGACTCACCTTGGGCCATCTCCATTCCTACAATCCAGAGTTCCTCATTTAAAGTAACATCTCAAGAAACCATTCCAGTAAACATGTGACAATCAAAGTCCGGCATTAGCGTCAAAATGTAATAGCAAATGTCAGCATTGTTGTGATTCCGCGTTCCCAGGCGCCATGTTTACAAACTTTAGTTATTGAGCCCGCGCTGAAATCTAAAGCGTTCTCGCTACCAAGTCACAGTCCCTCTCGGAATCTCGGCTATGCACCACCCCTCCTATCCCTTCTCGTGGCGTTTGTAATTTACGGGATTTTGAACTTGCATTCTTTCTTTGGATGTGAAATTGAAATTTAACCAGGACTTCTAATCAGGATCACGGAAGAATAGCTATTTTTCTATGCCCCTCAGTCTCTGGAAACAAAAAATGGGCACCCCAGACCCATTGTGGAAATTTAGCCCAGGGCTGCCCAAGATACGTTCTGATAGGTACGTCAGCACACTTATTTGTTAAAATTGCGTGACGAAAGATAGATAGATTTGTAAATTGAGACTAATGATGTTCAGATCACATGATGTTAAACCTGTAGTCGCTTGTGGCCTGCAGTTCATGTTATAAAAGTTTAATTAGCTGTAGCCTCTTTGTTTATCTCTGGTTAAACACAGAACATTCTAGGACTTTAAATAAGGTTAAGCTTATTTACGATTTTTTCTTATCATGCCCACTTACACTTCAACAGTACCAGAAATTTTCACAAATCCGCCAGAAAAGTCAATCTCCCAAGAAAAGAAGTCTGGACAGCTTACTGACGAGCAAGTCAAACAGTACTTCGATCAGGTAAAATAAGGTTAATTTTGCTGTACCTTTGTCGACATTTTTTTTTTCTGTTACGTTGTCACTCCTCATTCTTCCTCATTCTTCCTCATTCTTCCTCAGAGACCCCGGAAGTCAATTTCCCCAGGACATAATTAGTATGCCCAGGGGCTTGAAAATATAGTCACGACTTCAGCAGCAGCACATCAGTCTTTCATTCCAGTTGATACACACCTCCCTTCCAANCCCCCCCTCCCCACTCCCTTCCCCCCTTCACTCTTCCCATTCCAGTTCCCTAGCTAGGAAATAGGAAAATGGGTAATGTGAAGAACAGCTCCCAAAAAAAAATGTCAGCCATCTGCTGACAGTTCTTTTTACGTAACACTGGGCTAAGCAACATTTTAAAAACAAAGTTAATGAACAATGGGCTTCATGTAATCAAGCTCTTTTAATTAAAGTATTAATAATTATTAAACTAGTGCAAAATTAAATGAGAGTGAATGCTACAAAACAATTATTAANGATTTTTTCGCTATTTCCAAGTCTAGTTGATATTTAGGCGAAGCTGCTCTTAATAGTCTTTTGTTTTGGACCAAAGACACCCTAGATACACAAATAATTAACTTGTCTCACTTTGCTGTATCTGACCATTCTTCAATAAATTCTTATGGCTTGTCAAAATATATATTATTTCTAGGGATTCCTCTTGGTACCAAACTTCTTTGAAAGGAGTGAATTGGAGCCTGTTATTGCAGCTATATGTGAACTGGTGGACCAACTAGCAGAGAAGCTCTATAATGCTAGAAAAATTAAGGGTAAATATCAATATAATTCCCCTATGACAGCATGGTATTTGAATCTAAAAGCAGCTATAATTATACTCAAACTCTGCCCCAGACTACTATCTTCTCCTTAACCCTCTACATGGTTCATTAGATAGAAGGGGGTTCAAATAACTTTTAAATGTGAGAGCGCCCATACTTAACCATGTCAGGTTATTTCATCATCTACTCGATCATGTGATCATAACTCATTATAAGTTTTTGTTTTAATTACATAAAGATAAATATGCAGATGCTTCATTTTACACAAGATTGACATTGATTGAGAAAGAGTTCCCAGGAGCTGCAGTTCTGCTACACAAACATGGAGTCATGTCAAAGGTATATTGCCAATCCAACATATATAAAGGTGCAGCTGTGTTTAGTACCTGAACTCATGCATGTGGGTCAACAACTTTGATCTCAGACCTGCCTAATAGCCATTCACATATTTTTTTTGAAATCATGCCAGTATCAGGGTGTACTTCCATATAAAAAGTATGGGGTGCTTATCATACCTTTTAGGGGTTAAAAACACGGTTTTCAGGTATCTCTTAGGGTATTCAGCCTCAAAAGGTCCATAGTGGGATCTTTGATGGTACCCTTTAGCTTATGTCAAAAAATATATGGCACAAGATGTCTTGTTTTTAACTTGGTACCTCTTAGGGGTAAAAAATATTTCAAGCTATGCCCACAACACAGGATCTTGGTGCCTCTTAGGGGACTTCCCCCC